TCTGGATGCGCTCCCAGACTGCTCCAGGTTCACGTTTTCGAACGTAGACCGACTTGATCCAACCCCATTTTGTCATCCAGCCTGCTTTCGAGACTGCTGACGTGTAAACTCCACCCCTGATCTTGATATCCACGCGGATGCCATGCCACTGCTGATCCTTGGGCGGCAGATCGCGGTTCACCAACCACAAAGTCCTGTCACGGTTGCTCCAATCCCTAGCTGCACCAGCCAGAACATGGAGGAGTTCAGGATCCACCTGATCAACCTTCGGCACCCCATCATTGGTCAAAAGGACCCACAACTCATCTTCCAAACCTGGACGTTGGTCTTCATCGTACCTGGACTTGGACAAGAGCTGGGGCGGCGGACGATTTGGTGGTGGTGGATGATCAGGAGTGCGCGGACTCACAGGCTTCGGCGGAGGTGGTGGAGTCTTCGGCATCGTAGGAGCTGTCTTCACTGTTGATCTGGTCGGACGAATCGGACTCCTAGACCTAGTTGGCCTCTGGTTGGGTTCTGATGTACCAGCCGACTTTCTCCTCCTCAATGGGCTACGGGACCGCGGATTGCGATTTGCAAGCGTCGTCACGGCATCTGTCAACCTCTTGAGGGCTTGCAGAATCTCTTGGCTTCCGCTCGAAGTTTCTTCCGCTGGAATCTCTGGCTCTTCAACCTCAACCTCTTCTATCTCTTCTCCAACCTCTTGTTCGTCCAACTTGGTGTCGTCTTCATGGCTGTCAGCATCATCAAAATCCGGAACCGGCCTCACAGGCGAGGTCACGGCAGCGCTCGGCATTGGTTTGCTCTTTCGAGATGCCACGGCGTCACTCGCCTTCGGCGGTCGTGAAGATGAAGATGGCCTCGAAAGTACTGGAGGGCAGGCTTTAGGTGGAAGTGAGCGGGCTTTTGCACTGGTGCTGCGAATAGCCTCTTCTCGTGTCGGTGGTGGTGCTGTTGAACGCTCACCGGATCGCCACGGCACGTGGTCGTCCGCATCACCTCGAACAGCTCTTGGAGTGTGAACATTCATTGTATGTGCTGGAGTCAATGTCACAGTTGTATCGCCGAAAAGCGGCCCACAAAGAGTGCAACGTCCTCCACACGACATCTCACGCCATTCAGGCGAGTGAGAATGAATCACAACACACGTGAAGCCCTTCGAAGCAAGATGCCTGTGGATCAACATGCTTCCGCCCACAGAACGATGGCGCCCTGACTTGCAGCGCACGTCCAAAACTCCCTTGTCATGGCGCTCCACAAAGTCGTCCACCTCACGAAAGATGCGGTCAAGACCTCTCTGATCCCTCCTAAGACCATTCAAAATGGCCGGATGCCTTCCTACGTGTCCACGCAACGAAGGATCTTGGTCGGGATCCCACAGCGACTTGGCGTTGATGTACTTCACGGGGATACCACTGCCAACATGCTCTGACAACCTGTCTTCAAACCGGTCACCTCCTGTGACCAGCAAAAACTCACGGCTCTTCAAATTGCCAATGATGTTGCCAAGCGCACGATGGATACCTTCGGCAGTCTGGGCTTGGTACCCTCGCTCTGCCGTATCCAATCTCTCCATCGGAGTATCGAAGGCTGTGAGGGCGACACGAAATTTGCGATGACACTTTGGAATCTTTTGGGGCATGGTGGCTTCGAGACTTTGGACCAATTGTTGAGGGGTAATTGCCAACATCATTAAACCGGTGTGCATGCATCTGAACACTTTGAGGCGTTTTCCATTGATGCTAATGATACCATTCTTGAGGTCCTTTACTAGTCCCAAGTGTGCCTGAGCATGAAGAGACAAAAGCAGCGGAGATCGACCTTTCGACAGCTGGTGGGATTCAAGAACACCATGCACTGGATCTCCCTCGTCGAAGTGCAACGAAAAGGGTAATGTGCGGGATCCTTCTGTAGTGGTCCCTTTTTCACCTAATCCGGCAAAGTTCTTCGACGTTGTGGTTGAGAAAGGGAAATCATACCCCAGATTCTTCAGTTTGGCTTCCACGACGTCTCCCCAGTGCTTTGAATGGCAGGTGGAATTACATCCCTCGTCGAGAACGACGTAGATGTTCCCGTCGTCTGGGCTGTACATGTCCCTGGCTTCGTGAAATATGTGCACCAAACCATCTGTCATCTGGGTAGGTTCCTCCCCATGAAAACAAATGCCGATCCCTGCAAAGGGGTCTGGATCTTCGGTGTAATCAATCATGGTGAACGAGTCTCCTTTGCTCTCTTCGATGGACAGGTGGAGGAGCTCGTGCAGCTTGATCGAAGTCACGGCCTCGGTTTCGGCTGCCAACGCGACTTGGGCGGCAAATTCAGTCAAAATCTTCTCTAGCATCTCGGGGGTGTGTCCTTCTTCGGGTTCCTCTTCAACCAAACGTTCAATCATTGGGATCCTATCGAGCGGTGCGTTGACGACTTTCTCAGAGGCTGCCTTCCTAGTCTTTTGGAGCTCCATCGGAGTCTCATCCAAAAACGAACAACAAAGCTTGCAATACACACGGTGAACAGACCTGGAAGAACCTCGAAAATCGGTGTCCGAGTGCGGGCAATCGTCATATGCAAACTTCGGGGCTTGATCTCTACGCTCGGTGGTAGAGTTCCCACAGACAAGGCATGTCTTCTTGATGGTGTATGCTGTGCTCCCTTGTTTGGTGAACTCGGAACAATTCTTGCATTTCTCTTTCGGTGGATATGGTGGTTTCTTCCTTGAGGACCCTTTTGGGATTGGCTGCAATGACGATGAAGAAGAAGCACCACCAACCTTCCTGAAAACTGAAGCTCCCCTGTATTCAAAATGCTGATCAACCCACGTGACGAAAGCCGAAGCGATTGGACTCTTGCCATTCTTGATGGCCCATTGATGGTAGTCAGGATGTTCATGAAGGATCTGCCAAAATGTCTTCCCCCTGAACTGTCCAGCTAAGAACTTCCTATCGCTCCCCTCAGGCCTTACGAGGTCGTTGGGACTCACTGGTGCCTCCGGACGAACTCCTGAGCTGGCCTTCACGGCCACGTGAGCAATGCTATTCTTTGGAGACGCTGCATCTAGGAAAATCCCTTCGTCCTCGGATGAATCACTCATGTGGGCAATGTGTGCAGCAGGTTTCGGGACCGATCCAGTCTTCGGGGCATTGGGCATCTTACATTGGGGATCTCCGGCCCAATGACCTAATCCACCACAACGAAGACACTTGGATTTCGCCTTGATCTCTGACAGTTTCTGGCGGCGTTGCTCGATGCTCAGGTGAGACTTCACTATCTTACCTTTACCTTTCCCCTTAGGTTTACCCTTGCCTTTGCCTTTAGCCTTCCCGAAAGCGACGAATGCGGCAAGCTGCAATTGGATAGCGTCACCTGAGGAACGTTCTTCGGCATCTTCGCAATCAACTACTGCATTCAAGGCAATTGCTTCATATTCATCAACATCATCATGATACTCAAAATCTTCGTATTCAGGATGGCTAGCATGTTCATGTTCTTCAGACTCTTCAATCCCTCCGAGCATGCCTACGAAAGAATCTTCTTCATGATGATGCTCCTGCAAGTCCTCATCTCTCCAATCGAAATTGTCTTCCCAATCGGGATAGACGGCATTGTAACCAGCACGAGGGTATTGGCTACCTTTGCCTTTACCTTGGTACCCCTTCTGGTACCCTTTGCCTTTGCCTACCTGAGGCTGAATTCCCCGTCCTGTCCAGGATCGGGACCCTTCACGAAGATGGATTCCACTGTAGTTGTCAACCAAGACTCGTGCAGTACCTTCGAAGTCATCGTTCTTGCGACAAGCCTTCACCACGAGGATCTCCTGCCTAGAGATACCTGACATCTCCAACAATAGCTCTGTGCGGAAAGCTTCCGAGATCATCATCGTGGGGTCAAGCTCAACCAACAAGGTCCACCAGCGTCGTCGACGCTGAGTGTACGACAACATGCTTTCTGTAGGCTGTCTCGACAGTGGTCCTCCATGCTTCTGTCCTGCGCGAAAAAGCTCCTTACTCTCCTCCAAGGCTCGAGGAAACACATGGTTACGTATCACCTCGATGAGACGCTCCAGTCCCCCTGGACGCGCAAGTGTCTCTAGACCTAAGTCTCTGGCAAGCAAAAAGGCATCACCTCTCAAACCTTCTACGATCTTGTTCACTAGGACACTGCGATCGATGATGCTCGACTTGTCTGACTTAACGGACGAAGCCTTCGGTGATGTTGCATCAACCTTCGACTTGGGAGTACCGGCAGTCTCACGCGGCTCGGGCTCAAACTCCTCGGGATAGTGTCCAGGCGAAGGGAATGCGAATCCTTCGTCTGACTCTGGTGGCCAAGGCTCCCCTTCATCGGCAGGTCCAGTCACGGGATCCTGCTTCTTTGCTGGTTGCGTTTGGGCTTGGTCGTACAGCTTGATGCGGAGTTCGGTTCGGAATTTCCAATCATGAAATGATGCAGGATCTCCCCAATAGATGTAAGACCCACTCTTAGTTTCCAGGGGGTTGCCTATTCTATCACCAGTGCTACCCGAATGGAACTTGAGTCCAGCAATGGACATGTTCGACGATTCCGACGGAGATTGCTCGGGCGAGCAATCTATTCCGGGCTCTGTCCCCAACGGGATCAGAGGAGGCAAGCGAAAGCACGCAAGGAATGCAAGCTCAGGCTTGATGTTCTACGATTCCAATGACCTGGATCAGTACGTGCCGGAGTCAGGCCGTCACCTGCTCCGCTACCAATGTCGGTAGCAACCGGAATCGTACTGTCCACACGCTCTTTTCACTGCGAAAGCGAGCACGGTATAGCTCAAGGGCCCTAGGAGCCAAATGGCGGCAGACACAACATAGTGTGACAACCTGGCTCAACAGAATGAGATCCTACCTCAAATTCACAATATTTATATGTTCAGTTCCTCCCCCCATTGCTATCCGCCGCTGAAGGAACAATCACATGAGGCCGCTGGAGGACCTCTTGACGCTACCAATCTTTAAACCATTTCTGAGCGCTCCCGCCTCTTTCATGGCAGGTGAAACACATGGATCCTTCTACTGTGACTCTGATTCTCGCTGCTTTGCTTTGACACACGATGACACACGAGCTTCGAGCTCTCAACTTGCGGATGTGAAAGAGAAAAGAACGACTATACCAGAATCACCCCGAAATGGATAGGACGATTGAACCAATAAAACAACATGTGTTTGTCTTTGTACATAACTGAACTAGTAAAGAAAGGTGGAGGATCGAGTCGTCGCTGGATGTGTCACGAACCTGGTTGCCCCTCATGAGCCTCAATGCACTTAGAACACAAACTCTTGGCCAGCCAACTGAAGATGTCTTGCTTATGATATACCACAATAAACCTCCTTATCTTGAAACCATTGGTTCATACTTCGATGTGTGCTTGTGTTGCTGTTTTTTGTTTGATTGCTCGTCTGTCTGTCTGTTTGTTTGTTTGGTTGTTTGTTAATTTATGTTTTGTTTGTTGAAATTCCTGCTCAGTCACCCTATCAAGTAGCCACTTTTCCAGCCACGGTTTCTCCCTGACCAAAGCAAACCATTTTACAAGCGTATCTCTATGTCCTATGTGAAGCATCGCTTGAGCCATTGCATGATCAACCCACAGCAACTGTTTGAACCAATTGCAGAACCACACACTACCGGTATGATCACGAGAACTCCTGCAAGATCGACGTGTTGGAGTTGTCTAACTGTTTTGGTCCCTGGTTCTACAGACCAAACATACCGGCGAAACAAATTAATGTGTATAGTTTCGCAGGATCTTGGAGCTGCTATAATTCACGTATCTCTTCCAACCGAATCTTTGTTGTACAATAGTCGGGTTTCTTAGAAAAAACAATAACAAAAACTGTTTGGTTTGTTTCAAGTGAACCAAATTGGCGCTGCCACATATTGCTTCCACTTTGACATCACTTGCCCACTCGTTGTAGAATCATCAACTATAAATATAACATCGAAATTCCCATGTGTATGACCTATGGAGAGATGTGCATACCCGGGAAGAAAAAACAATTCCCAGTCGGAAAACAAACAACCTAAAACGTGTTGGCTGATGGGATTTACTATCCTCCGCCCCAACTGCGCTAGCCCGGGGAATGAATTCCAGCGCACCGGTACTGAGGCTTCTCCGCTGCGTCGCTTGGGGACATGAATCCCTCCGGATGGACCGAGCGTGGGGACGATGGAGTGACTGAGGTGAAACAGAATGCCACCGGGTGACGTGGATCACCCCCCGAGAGATCAACCAGCTTCCGAGCTTCCGCCAGTGGAAAACTCCACGAGAAACGCAACCGGCGTGTACCAATGAATTTGGGAGAAATGGTTTTGTGAGTTCCATTGAGTTCCCTATTTGAGAGGAGAGGGCATGAATGAGTATGAAAGCAGGTGTAGACTGTTCAGTCACATGTTACTGGCGGCGTTTTGGTTTGATTATATAATGGTTTGATGGACAAAACAGTAAAATGGTGAACATGCAATGTGGGTTCCAAACGGAATCCTCAACAAATTGCAGTAATATCCCAAGATCTTTTCCAGTGCGCCGAACATGACCAGTTGCACGTTTCCACCTATAAACCTGTTGAGACAAGAAATCATGCGACAACATCAGAATCAACAAACTAAGTGAACGTTCAACGTATTACAATGATTGCCAAAATTTTGACGTTGATCCCAGATGTGCCTCGGGGATCACTCGGCAGTTCCGGATGAAGTGCCAACCAGCTGGGATGCTCCAAGATACCTCCGGCAGTTTTCAAACAAGACTGTTGACATGTCGAAGTACCCGTCTGCGTGACACAGGCTATGCGAATCCGGAACATCACGTTCCAACAAACACGCTGTTCGGTTTTCAACTACGGGTAAAGAATCTAATGTTGAAAGGATACACTCCTTGAACTCATCATAGAAGTGGGAACTTGACCCTTGGATAAACATTGTGCTACAAGCAGGAGAGCCTGCCGCTGATCGGGTCACTCCACCTACGGCCCATGCGCCTCCTCCAGCTCAGGTTCTCGAAGTGGGCGCCCATGATCATCCCACTGGCCAAGAGCAGGTGTGTAAGAGTGATCACATGAAGCTGCTCGAGCGCTTAAGAGTCGACCATAGCTCCATGGCAATGTCACGCAACTTACACAAGTCGACCACACTTATCGGAAGCACGCTCACCACTTTAGTGCCTAAAGTCCAAAAAGACACTGATACCTTCACCGCCCCTACTGAGAAAAGCCTCGCTTGGCTGCGCTTAAAGAGCATCGCTAGACATCCGTAAATTTCAAGAAAGGAAGCTTGGTCAACAGTTTGGTTCGCGACGTTGCTGTGCGCCATCTGTCTTGGAAAATCCTGCTGTGTCATGTTGCCAACCGCCGTGTGAATCTGCAGGAAGCCCAACCTATTGGCCGAAATGTTCAAGAACTGGATGCATCGATCCATGCTCATTTCAGAGGATTGTATTGCTAAGGACTATATGAGGTCCGAGGTTGCTGATTCAAAGGGCTTTCGACCACACGACAATGTGTGGCTTACCAGGGACTTGCAGTGTGTGTGCTCCGCACCTGCACTATGTGAGTCAAACACACTACACACACATATATATATATATAGAAACAACCGGGCCAGGAGCGGATGGGAACAATTGTTCTTTCTGCCAGTGCATCTCAGGCACCACACAAAGGCACAAACAGCTCTTCAGTTTGTCCTGGGGTATCAGCTGGTTTGATTGCATATGGAACTACAGAGTGTTGTATGTCTAAAGATGGCCCCCACATGAATCATTCATGGTGAGTAAACATAGTGAAACCAGGACCAGTTTCCCCCCATCAATGACCCAAGTCAATCAATTGTGACAGGTCATTTGGTCTCATCAACATGTATCAGGTGTATGTATGCTCCTTCAATCTTTCTGCATAGTTTGAAGCGTAGTGTAGCGCAGTCATGGACATGCCAACTGCAAGGAGGTATCTTTGGTAAAGCCACCAACAAACAGGTGGGACACGCAATGTGTTGTGGTTGTCTGCTGCAGTGTTGGCTGTGACAAGGATGAAAAAAGATAGTGATCCCCAACAAGATCGAAACGGTTTCCAGTATACAGTGTTAGTGAGGATATGTGGGGATCTACTTCTCTATCCATTAGGAGGTCGACCAGTACAAAGATTGAAAGAGCCTGAGGAATTGATCAATAATGCGTGAGGGAAGACATCGGAAGACAGGTCTTCTTTTCAAGCCAAAGGTTGCCGCGGTGATTTCTTCATAGAAAGACACAAATGACACAAAGTTAAATCCGGAATGAATGGTACTCTGCCTCCTTCTATGTCTTATTTGTGGAACAGCTTTCTGCCAATTGAGGTCGAGGTCACATGCAAAGAGGGCACAGTCAGTGGAACCTTTGCGCTGGCTGTGACTGAAATATGTGAAAAGGCGGGTTGCGCCTGTCCGAAGCTGAAGACATGTTCCCCCCTTGTGAACGCCTCGGGTTCAGAGGCTTGAAGGTGTGATACACAACACAACAGATAACCCCTGCAAAGGTGTTTCAGATCATTGGTGTGGGGTAAGGGATCAAAAAAATAGAAGGAAATCAAAAAACTGTGCTGTATTTAACATATACGAATATCACCTTTCGAAAAAATACCACCTGAGAGGGATCCAAGGGGGGTACTGTCCAACCTGACACTCATGACAACTGTAACATTCGGGAACTAAGCCAGCTGCAGACTGGCACCACCATTCAGGGAATGTGTGGCAGGTATAGGCCTCTTAAAACCAAATCCCAGCAAGGCTTGCACTGCTTCTTTGTTGCAACTTGCCAGCCATATGGATCACATTGGATCACAGTCAGTGCTGACTCTGAAAAAGAATTTCATGGAGTTGCATTGAACATATGTAGTGCTGTAACAGCTTGAGATTTTTGCTGAGTCTTACAAGCTTCACGAGCGATGGTGAAGCATGTATGGAATTTTGACTTTCGCTGGAGCATGGATGATGCTCTGTTTTCCCTGAACAGATTTGCGAAAACAAAAGATTTTGGTGGCTCCAGCGAAATTGAAAGTTCAATACAGTGATCACTGGCGGTAGTGAGACTTGTAGGAGGTTGAGAATTTCTCAAGCCCTTACAGCAGTGGATACCTTAAATGACAAAGAATAGACGGTATTTTTTCAAGGACCAATCCCAAGTCTGGACAAGGCCCGAATACTAAAGTAGATGTAAAGCAAGGTCCGACCTCAATTCACTATCGCTATCACCCTGACTGTCTGGTTCCCTATCGCTAGCGGTAGTGAATGTTGTAATAAGGGACATCTCGCTATCACCCTCACTGTTTAGGTCGCTAACGGGCAGGGACAGGAACATTGATAACTAGTATGTTTACACCGCCACATGTTCACATATATCTAAAATACACCTCAGAAAATATTCAAGGGAAATCAAAGAAAGGGAAATCAAAAAAAAATCTAGCCCCACAGACAGGGGCGCTGCCAAGACAAGGGCAAGAGGAGGACAATCTGCAAATGCGATGGGCGACCCTTTACATAGTTAGTTTTCGTGGCAGGCGCAGCGCAAGAGTGCAGATTTTGTGGTGATGGAGGGGGCTTGGGGGGGAGGGCGCAGCGCATCCCCCCAAAGCGAACGAAAGTTAAAACACAGCACCACAAAAGAAATCACTAGAAACTATGTACCCTATCGCCCCCTCAGTGAAGGGCATCTAAAAGTGCACAAAAGGATCTAAGGAAGCGAAACCAAAAGCATTGTACGTTTGCAGGAAAACTGCGGCCAATAAGCTACAAGAGAAAGGACCGAAGGCATCAAAAAGCATCAGTGAAAGAACAAGGAGAAACCATAGGAAACCCGCAGGCCAAAGGACCAGGAGGGTAAAGGAACAGAGACCACGGGACCGGACCAGGACCAAAGGACCAGGGGGCCAAAGGGCCTGTGGACCAAAGGATCAAGGGACCAAAGGACCAACGGACCAGGGGACCAAAGCATAGTGGACAAGCGGAACAAAGGACCGGAGGACCCGCAAACCACAGGGCCAGGAGAGCAGCAGAAGAGGCCTACCAAGGAACATGTTTTTTGATCCTT